TATATAACTATGACAACTTAAAATCATATATACAGCCTGATCGCTGCCACTTTTTCGGCTGCGGCTGCAAGAACTGAACTCCCATGTACTGTACATAACACTAGAAACAGCTGCAGCTGCAGCCAAATAAGCAGCGAGCAAGCTGATAATCCTATTTCTCTCTTTCTCTCAATTATATATGTGCCTTGAGTGGATTATGACCTGCTGGTGTTGCATGCCATCCTTTCCTCTCCTCTCTCGTCACTGTCGAATCTCTCAAGTTCCATAACACTGAATGGATGTTAGCCTACCAAGCAAGTCAACTGGATGATAGTGAAGCAAAAACAAATCCGTACGATATGCAACGTCCTGCTCATGAAAAAGCCTAAGGGTAAGCGTATTAGATGAAAATATTCTTATAAAGATTCTACAAGTGTTGCTGCGTGATCAACGTTAGTGTCCCATGAAAGGTCTAAAGATCAAGGTGTTAGGCATAACAAAACTCGAAGTTAAAAATTAATGTCTTCTAAGCAAAAGGTTATTTAAATTGCTGGATGAAGAAGGAAACTGACAGACCTTAATTACTCACAAATAAATATCTAAGCTCAAAATGTTTGACCCAGGCTCAAATTAAACCTGGGGACTCTCAATATTGGAAAGGTCTTTTAAAGGCCAAGGATAATTTTGTAGGATGCGGGACATTTAGGATAAGAGATGGCTCACAAACTAGATTTTGGGAAAATACATGGATAAGCTCCGCACCCCTGGAAGAACAATCTCCTAGCCTCTATAACATTATCTCTTATCCTCGTGTTATTGTTGCCAATGTCATGAGTCAAAGGCCTCTTAATTTTTCTTTTTGAAGAGCCCTAGCCGGAGACGAATTAACGACTTGGCATAAACTTGCAGTAAGAATAGCTAATATTCAGCTTTCCAAGGATAAGGATGGTTTTAATTGGGATTTACATAATCATGGTCAATTCTCAGTTCAGTCGATGTACCAGTTCCTGATTAACCAAGACACCCCTTTTACCAAGAAATTTTTTTGGAAGTTGAAACTCCCTCTTAAAATAAAGATTTTTTCTTTGATACCTTCATCGAGATGTAATTTTTAACAAAGAATAATTTAACCAAAAGAAATTGGTCAGGTACCCAAAAGTGTTTTTTTAATTGCAATGGAACAATTAAATATCCGTTTTCTGATTGTCAACATGCTAAGACAATCTAGAACATACTCCCTCCACCCCATAAAAAGTGTCATTCTCACTTATTGAGAAGTCAAACATTTTTTAACTTTGACCAAATATATATAAAAAATAGTAATATTTATGATTCATAATTAGTATCATCAGATGAATCACTTAATACATAACAATGCGTGCATATACAATACTATAAGCTAATTCTCATCAAGTAATCACAGCATTAGTGGAAGTTACAATAAGCCTGATAATTAAATTGCACAAAGTACACAACGACGAGGTACCCTGCAAGCAAGGTTCGGATCGACAAGCCTTGCATTGGCTGTAGTACACAGACGCAGTGCACATAAAACAACTAACTGATCTGTCTCTGATGACACATTATTGGTTCATGAGCAACCTGATATTTATTAGTGCACGATGACGCGGCGATGAGCAGAAAATGGCGAATCAACCACACCCGTGCAATTTCCCGCTGATAGGACCGGCTGTGCGCACGCAATGACAGCACCACCACGTACACAGCCTATAAAATTTTCTTCGTCGTCCAACCACCACCGCCGTGGGCGACGCGAAAGACCTCATCAGTCATCACCGTACCTGCTGCCTAAGCTTTTCTGGGAACAATCGACCAATGCCAGGCCCTTCCTGCCAACCAAACCCGTCCACATACAGGCTTGCAAATTGCACACCAGATAGAGCTAAACAAGCAGACAGACAAGAAGAACATCTTGTGCTAGTCTGGTACTGATTGTATGCTCCATCCTCTCGATTACTCCTTAATAATCTAAATATGGCCGGGCTTTGCAGTGGGTGGATGCAAGTGGCAGTAATGTTGGTTTGTTGCATGGAATAACTAATACTATGCTTCCTCGCAATGCAATACGATATCTGCACAGATTGGCAAGGTAGAATTTTAGTGTCAACTAGGCAAAAGCGACATTCTCGACCTTCCCTAAATTGGCTTTTGCACAATAATTGATGCTCATGCATGGCGACCAGAAGCCAATTTGGTGTTTTTGTAATGAAGATTCTCCAGACGCATTGGAGGGCTCATAAATTAAGTTTTCAGTTTTTTTTGCCACATCAGTCAGCAACTGTTCTAGTCAAGCTTTAAAAAGTTTTGAGACATGATACAATCGATATAGTATCTTATACAAAATATTAGGTTTGAAATAAAACGTATGCATGCATGACAATCACATATATCTAGATTATTTGTTTGTCTTGAAAATTTTATGCTCTCACTCTCTAGCACCAAAATTGTTATATTTTATAACATTTTCTAATACCACATAGTGGCCAAAGACATATATTCCCCGCTAGCTAGGCCACATCATTGTCCAAAACGACTAGCTAGTATCGTTGACTAGAGGGAGAAGTGAACTACTCTTTACAGTGAAAGGTAGGGTCGTTTAGCGTATAACTTCTAGGTAGATCAAATTACTTCAATTCAATTTAATTTGATTCATCCTCCATGTCCACTTTCGCAGAGATTGATTAATTGTTTCATTACCCATCAGCTGCTGAAAAGGATATGTGACCGATACAAATTGAGCCAGCTGTCATTTGCACTCACCATGGGTAGCACTAGCGTATAAGCACATGTTCTGTGCCATTCTTTATCTTTCCTAGAATATATGTTTAAACAGGAGAACTAGAACATGATGACTATATTCTATGTTACGTAACCAAAACATATATGCTCCAAATTAATATACACCTGAAAATTGCATGTGTACTGTAGGCATAGCACAGATGAAACTAAAGTACACAAACAAACTCATCACAAGTGCCCCCCATGGGCCATAATATGGACACTAGAATCGCACAAGGGGGGAAAGGCTTGTACACAGCAATTGTCGATCGTTGTCGTGGGAATCGCACAACGCAAGGGAAAGAAAAGCTAGCGGAACTGCACCACAACGAGCATGAAGAAAAGGCGAAAAAACTGCTTGTCTCCACGGAAAGAAAGAAAGAAAGAAAGAAAAGGCTTTCCATACGCATCCAGTCCACAACCACAACCCTTATGGCCGCTGGAGAGCCGCGCAGGCAGGCAGCCGATCGAGACGACACCACCACTGTCCACCGATGAGGTCGTCGAGGGAGCCAGGCATGAGGCATGCATCTACCCGGCCGTGTCGCCTCCGAGCATTGGCGCGAACTGCTGAGAGATCGACACATCAGTACATCACCGGCCAGATGAAGCCAAACCCCGTTCGCCTGCCGATCCAATATAATCCCTTTGCAGGTACGAACGGAAGGATACGATCCCCCGGCAGCAGATACGGGCTCTCATAGTCTATGCTGTATAATACTGGCGCATTACTCGCGCGCGCTGTCAATGATGATGCTTGTTGTCAAGGTCTAATTGCGCAAACAATGCACGCAAGAGAGCAACTGGGCATCTCTTTTTCCAGGAAAGCTAGATGGGCGCAACCGATTGGAGGAATAAGAAGAAGAGCAATCATGGCGCCGGGCCGGGAGTTGGTCAGAGTTCCAAACAGCGCCGAATATTCATTCACCCACACACACTTCCCCTCTGACGCTAGCTGTGATGATCGACAGGAAGAGATCGACATCAAGGCGAACACGATGACGACGGTATAGAGTAATCGGCGCCAAAAAGGACTCTTCTGTCGTCTGCAGATGGCTGATGGCACCTAATAATTTGCACTGTATGTATTGGGGGCCTAAAATATACGCGTGATCTGCTGTTGCATCTGAATAAAGTAATGTGGATCGATTAGCTTGGCGATGGAAAGTTGGGGGGTGGTCAAAGACGAGTGAGCGAGCGAGAATCCTATGCGCTGGGGTGGTTTAGGTTAAACAAACAAATAAGCCGCCACTACATGTGATACGAATGGTAGGAAAGCTGGGGCAAATCCTATCCTAAACTCCTGTCCGGATAAGGCTAGCTAGCTTGCACGAGTTAGCTAGCTAGCTAGCTTTGGTATATATAGATAGTGATATAGATGCATTTGCACTTGCAAGCGATGGATGGAAAGAAATTAAGACCTAATCATATTGTCGAACAACAAGCTTAGCCAGCAGCGAGACGTACAGTACAGAGTATCACGATCGCCACGGCGTCAGATCAGAAGCGTGCCAAATGGCCAACACGGAGGATGATAGCACACGGGTGACTGGTGGGTGTGGATGGGGATGTTGGGTGGTCGCGCAGTTGGACTATGGGGTGAGGAGAGATCTTCATAGCATCTGGATGTGGTGGTTCTTGGTTACCTTTGCCGTACACTAATAAAATATCATCATTGTGTTATGTAGGCGCTAGCAATTAGAATGTTCCACCTGTGTGGTTACGTTAGTGGTTGTAGTGGTTCTTTTTTCTTAATGAGAAACTAGTGGTTATATATAGTGGATGCACTGTCGTCGATTTGTTGACATAAAGCCTCGTGGGCTAGCCTCTCATCCACATTACGTAGCATCCGCGATCCAGCCCAATAGTTAGTTAGTTTTTTTCTGAAAGAGAGCCCATAGTTTGTTACTACCACGTCATCAGCCTACTGAGCACCGCGTCCGTTCCCGAGCACTGCAGGCCTAACCCATCGAAACACGCAAGAGGCCCAACACCAACCGCGCCATACCGGATGCCGGCCTGGATCCAAAGCTACGGGCAAAGTTTCCGTCCATAAAAACTGACGCGCGCGAACGAAAGCCCCCGACGCCCGCCTGCCTAGGCCCAGCCAGCCTGCCGACCCAGCACTTCCCCGTTCCCCTCTTCCCCGCTTCAGCCTTCTCTCCATCCGTTCCCCGGCCTCTCGCGCATCCACCGCCACGCGCCACCGCGCCGCGTCTTCCATGAAGGACCCGTTCGAGGCGGCCGTCGAGGAGCAGGACTCGCCGCCGGAGTCGCCGGCGCCGCCCGAGGAGGAACCCGGCACCACGGGCCCCGCGGACGACCCCGAGGACTACGACGGCGGCCCGCCCCCGCGCCAGCCGTCGGCCTCGGCGTCGCACGCAGCCGCCGCCGCCGCCGCCGCCGCGGCCAAGGCCAAGGGCCGGGTCCAGAGGGAGCAGCAGGAGGATGACGACGACGAGGAGGACCAGATGGAGGTCGACCTCGAGAAGCTTCCCAGCAGCACTGGCGACCCCGACAAGGTCGCCAAGATGAAGTTCGTGCCTGGTTATGCCTTGTCTGTTCAATTTTTTAACCTAGCAAATGACGCTGCCTTGCTATCCGTTCAAATTCGCTGGTTCTTCGTAATTGGAATAATTGTCTGAGGAGTAGATATGCGTTTAGGGGACTGCAAACCAGCGAACCCTAATTCTGCCTATGTTAACCACACAGATCAATAACGATGCAAAGCAAATGAGTGGCCATTCCTTGCCTTATTGCTGGTAGTTTTCCGTTGATTTTCCGTAATCCTAGTTGTAAATAGGTGTGATTGCGGATCACTGGATCAGCAAGTTGGCGAACCCTTACTCTGTTTCTGTTAAACACACAGAAACCAATTACACATAACAAAACTAGCTGTTGTTAATTGAATCATGCTACCAGGTCAATATTAGTGTTAGCATCATTTGCCCTTATCTTTTGTATCAGTGTTTGATAGTACGCTTGTTTCCATGATCGTTTGTATTTAGAAAGTTTTTTTTTTCAGAATTACTACTATGTAGTGACGGTTGCTGAGAAAAATATCATGGTTCACATCTGTAATTTATATTCCCTAGTACATAAAAAGTATTCATACTTTCTTATGATTGAATACTAAATTGTATGTCTATGTTCTAACCGCGTCCTTTGTCAGTGCTATACTGTCCCAATTTACAGAACAGCAGATGAACCGTTATGAGTCATTCCGAAGATCTGGATTTCAGAAATCTAACATGAAAAGGGTATGGCTTCACTTATTAATCATATAAATTGTAGGGAAAATGCAAAGACCCACCTACAAGGTAGGGGGTTTCAAATACCCGCCTACACCTCCATTCCTTACACATAACACTTGTAGGTGTGAGACTGTAAGAAATTGAGATGTAAGTGGATATTTGAACTTTGAAATCCCATGACTTGTAGGCGAGTCTTTTCTATTTACCCTAAATTAAATTATCTAACCTCATGCATTATTTATATTTGTCCCAGTATTCCTCAATGATTGAATTTGTAAATGAATATATGCATATAGAGCAGATATTTTATCTTCTCGAATGCACTGTTAATGGTAGTATCTTAAGGCAAATTAGTGCTAAGTGCTAAAGCAAATATCTATTTTTTTCACTCCAAGTCATGGAAATTACTTTGCTCTAGCTGCCTTATATGAAACATACTGAGATGGCCATGTATGTTACATGTATTGATTTTTATTCCCTATAAAAGTGCTTGGAGAACAACTTGCCAACTTGGTGGGTAGTTTTTATCTTGCTTTCTCCATCATGCTGTACTCATGAAAATTTTATGCCCATACCAATTAATAAGTAGGACAGAGGTTGTGCCGATAACAAATTTGAATCTTTTTATCAACGTTTTCCTAAACGGTAAACGGTCTTTACACAGTCGCCCTTCGTTTAGCGTTTAGGCTCTTTACACGGTGTTTAAACGAAGTTAAACGGTCTAAGCGATTTTGTACTTTTAAAAAAAAATACATATAATTATATATGTGCATGTAAAAAATCACGTATTCTAGCATTTATACATATTTATCCGAGTAAAAATCAATTATTTTGGTATGTATATATATTTATGCATGTGAAAAGAACCAAATATAGATATTTATGCATGTAACATATCAAGTGTACACATTTATAAATATAATAAACTTAAGTATACAAATTTATCCATACAAAACTGAACTAGATTTATCTCGTGTTCGCCTAAACAGCTGTTTAGCCCGTTTAATGTTGTTTATCTCCGTTCTGTTTAGGCCGTTTAGACCGTTTTTTCCCGTTTTTTTACCGTTTAAACGGTCAACCGTTTAATTTCCGTTTACCCCTAAACAAAACAGTTTACCACCGTTTACCGTTTACTGGCCGTTTAGGCGAACACTGCTTTTTATCATGTATTTGCTATTCAGTAACTCAAATCAGTCTGCGGACAGATTTGCAGTGTTGATCCATATTTTGTTTACTTACAGCTATTGGTCGGCATCACTGGAAGTCAGAAGATTTCTATCCCTACATCAATTGTGGTATCAGGAATAGCAAAAATGTTTGTTGGTGAGCTAATTGAAACAGGCACGTTCAGAATAGTCGTGTTGTTTACTTTGTTTCTATGGAATCCAATCTGCTACGGGATTGGGTTGCTGAATTGTATGTTTTGTACTTTGTCTAAGCATGATAACCAACATCCAACTGTAATCTTAACTAGTATGATTTTGTGTTTTAGTTTGGCTTCTGTTTCTGTTCGGAATCATAGGTCCTTTTTCTTCTTTCCACCTCACTATGATACAAGGAACTTGCTAGCAGAATTTGTAGGTTTCAACAAAAGTCTTCAGGATGGCTTTCTTGATTGTTGTTTTCTCTTAGCAATTTCATTGTGTGTATTGCAGCAAGAGTAGTTATGACTGAGAGGAAGGATTCAGGACCCATTAGGCCTTGCCACATCAGGGAAGCATACAGAAGATTGAAGCTTGAAGGGAAGATCCCACGGAGATCTGTTCCTAGGCTCTTCCGCTAGAATTGAAGTATGTATATGTATACATCAGTCAGGAGTCAGGACAGATGTGGAATAATGCGTTTTCCCATGTAACTGCAAATATCAAGCCTGTTCGGATGGCTGGTTTGTATCGTTGCTGGTTCGTTTATGTGAGAGAGAAGTACTACTGGCTGGTTCAAATGAACAGTATTTTTGTGAGGGGCTGGGCGAACACGGCAGAAAACCTGTGTACTATAAAGCAAGGCCCCCATTTGGCAGGGTTTCTGGCTCCAGTTTGTTGCAGTTTCTGGAAAGAAACCTGACCGCTCACAATTTCTGTAGAGAAATCCTGCCAAATGGCATCTCATCTTTAGAGACGGAATTAGAAAGGTACAACGGGAACATAAATCCCTTCCACGGGACCTAAATCGTCTGGGTTTGTTATCTGTACTGACTGTGATTGTGCAGAGTCTGATTTCCATGCTCTATCTGGATGCATTTGAGTTGGGTAGCGTGCTGTTGTTCACATTATATATGCCTTTTCAGTACTAGAGATCGGGTATTTACCATTTCGTTGCTGCTCTTAACGGTACATTGCGCGGATTGCCCCAGTTTCTCTTCAATTTGGACTGGCAATTCGTTATGACAAGGGGCTCAGAGAGGATGCAGGTTAAGAGTTACAAACTGGCCCAAATGCAAATTTTGACTTGTCGATGTGATACTAGCTGCTGAAGTGCTGAACAATAGGGTAGCTCCATTCTGACTTTCTGAGATTCCTTGACCGAGATCAGGCGGATCTGCGGGGCACGTGGCGAACGGAACAAAACGCCAAACTGCTGCCTGTGCCCTGTAGTGGGTCTGTATGTGCCTTCAGGGGCCTGCCGCCCTTTTTGTTATGTGGGTCCGTACGTACGCGCGTGCAGCGAGTTTTTTTTTTTTTTTTTTGGCGCTAGCAGGAAGACGAAGCATGGAAGCAGTGATGGGCAAAACACTTGTCGCACGGAAGCGTTTTTGACCAGCGACGACATTCCTGGTCCAAATGAAAATGATCAAAGGGAAGTCAGAAACATGCAGCGGGATTTGTGGAGAGATGAGCGGCTTTGGCCAGGCCTCCCCCGGATCTTCGCCGATTGATGTTGTACTCGTCAATCGCCATGCCAATTGCCAAGGATGATGTGAATCGTATAGGGGCGGTGCAGGCAAGGATACCTTGATTTCGTGCCGAGCCAAGCAAATCCAGCACAGGGAAGAACCCAAAAAAAAAATGACCAGAAGCTTGCATGTATGTCTTGTGATCCTGTTCCCTGCCCCTACTCGACTAGTACTGCTGCTTAGAGGCAGGCAGCCAGGCTGGGGTGTTGCTCGATGCTTTCAGGACCCAGCGAAACGTTGATGAGGACATCTCTGGAGGCAGGAGGGGGACTGAAGCATCCTCGTATCGTGACCTCGCATGGAAAGGGGGACTCCACTTCCAGATAGAACTTCCTCGGGATCGTCCGTCGTAGATATGCGAACACGCTGAAGATAGATGAACCACAAGCGCAGGAGCTGTGTCAGTTGCCGTAGGCAGGCGCAGTGGCGAAGTTAGAGCGGAATCGAGGGGGGTGCGAGTACTAAAAGAAGTGATAATGAAAATTAACGAAACCAATACCATTAGCATGTCTGACAAGCGTTGATATAGGCAATATATCATTTGACTTCAAGTTTTCAACTTCATCGACAGTTCTCGACATCCTCAAAAATTCAAACAAATGACGTATGATATACTTTTCATTTTTCAGCAAAAAATAATGATGAAATGAAAATAAATACAATACATTACCTCTAAGTTTCATTATTTTTCAGCAAATAAGGCAATTGTTCCATTAATTAACCTGTAGTCATATTTAACAGACAATTAAATATGTAATGATGTTAACTGGTTGTTTCTTTCAGAATGAAGTACAGAACATACAGCGAACTAAGTAGCAAGTAGTGGCTACTGCAGTGGCACCTTGAACCAAAAAATTCCTCTCGGATTTGCAATTTCACTCCACTTCTTCTCAAATGGAAATCCTATGGCAAGGCCTAATAATCCAGTAACAAAATTTAGGATTCTATCTCTAATAAAAAAATGAGAAATAAATATATAATAAGAGGAACTGAACTAGTACTAGAGAACTCCAAAAGCATCTATTTATTTACCATGTACCAGTCAACTTTGGTGGCATACTGGCTTCCCAAATCTCAATCAAATCACTCACCATGGACGGATAGAGGCATGAAGCTGCTACCTGCTGTGTGGCGCAGTGCGGAAGTGGACGGAGTGGATAGTCGCGGCCGACGCTCCACGGGAACGAAGTGGCGGAGACGGACGTCGAGACGCTGGACGCGACCTCCGCGGCTGCGCCGCTGTTGCTGTTGCTCTGTGCGATTCAACGAGCCGTGAACGTCTGTGTCGTCGCGTTGAGAGGAGCGAGGTCCGGTTGAATCGTCGTTTAGAAGTCGGAAAGGCGTCTGGGAACGGATGCGTAGGCGGAGGGTGTCGGTCCAACTCCTGTGTAGTACTTCTACGTGGGAATTGGGATGGCATATAGGGTCAAGATGGCCCAATAATAACTGAATTTTTTTTTAGGGTGGTGCATGTGCATCCACGGGCATAGCCGCCGGCGCACATCCCGACCTCTAAGCAGGGTGAGGTGCTGCTCATGAAGAAGATGATGGCCCAATAATAATTAGAAATTTTTCTTGGAGGGTGGTGCATCTGCATCCACGGGGCGTAGCCGCTGGCGCACATCCCGATCTCCAAGCGGGGCGAGGTGCTGCTCATGAAGAAGATGTCCATCCTAACACCGGCCGCACCAGTCTCATCCACCACCGAGGGTGCGTTCGATGCATTTTTCGCAATAAACTTGTCGTCGAACCAAGTGGAAGCTCTGGACGAGCTGTTCCCAGCAACCAATCATTGGGCTGGTGGAGCAGTTCGTGATAGCATCATAGTACCTCTAAAACGTATATCAGGGGATAATTAGACTTAGATGGAGAAGCTTGGTTATGTACCTCGCCCTAAGGCAGTTGCGGCCATAGCGCCGTAGTGATGTGGTCGTCGGTGGCGCGGCGTCATAGTCAAACGCCGTGCAGTGGAGGCGCGGTCCAGTGGCGATGCAGGAGCGACGGTGAAGTCGGTGGCGGCTTCCCGTCGCTGGCAGCACCGTCTTTCTTGATCGGTTAGCGTTAGGGTTTCTTTGTCGGAGGGTTGCGGCGGCTCAGGAGAACCTCGTACCTTGTGCCCTGGCCCCCACCTCTCTTTTATAGTGCTGTGCGACAGGGGCCCACCAACCATAGAGTGGTTGGACGCCCCCGATCAGGGCGTTGATCCAAGGGTCCAATTGGCCGATTGGTGGAGATCAAACTAACATTCTCCCCTTGACCTTACCTTATTCCTTAAACTTAACTTACTTACTTTATCTTGTTCCCATTCCATCTCAAATCAGTGCATAGAGCGTGCCTCATCGTTACGGTCTGTTGCCATTAGATTAAACAGCTACAATATACATCTCTGTTTTGAAACAGATATTCAACTAGGTCCTTAGTATCCAGAAATCATAGGATATCACATAAACCCATGTCGATTGTGTGTTCTCTGAACGCACTGGGTGGTTAGCCTTTGGTAAGTGGATCCGCAAATATTTACGAGGTACTTATGTGCTCAATGCTTTCAAAATGATTCTAGATTTTCTCTTTTACAACATATACCTTAGTGTCAATGTGTTTGGCAGCACACTTGACTTGTTGTCTTAGGAGTTAACTTACTTTAAATGGTTATTGTTGTTGTCTACCATTGTTAAATTCGGGTACAAATTCCCTTAACAACATTTTGCCTGTTCCTTAAGCCTCATGTTAAGCTATACTATGGTATGCATCAATGATGACATCATAACTGTTTCTTTGAAGCTTTTCCACAATAATACTCCAAAATACGAGTGTTAGCAACTGCAATGGATTTCACTATACATCTCGCCAAGACTTAACTTTTGTACCCTCAACTATTTGAGAGTTCTTATTATTTCTTACTCTGCACGAGGCCTATAATACTTTACAAAATTGCAAGACATTCTCAACTCAATTCCAGTGATCTATATCTGAACTGGGCTTCTACCAAAATATCCCGGATACATAAACTACGTCAGGGTAAGTTCTTACTTGTACTTGTACACACATCAAGCTTCCAACAGCTAAAGCATATGGAACTATATTATTTTGATCGATCTCATATAGGTTCCTGAAACACTTAAAGTTTCCAAATCTATTACCCTCGACTACAGAAGCAGACGTAGGTTTACTCGCATGCATACTTTACTTCTTTAGAATCTTTTCTAAATATACCTTTGCGATAGTCCTAATACCCTATTTTCTTCTATCTCGGTGAATTTCGATTCTTCGAACCAATGACGCTTCACCAAGATCATTCATATTGAAACTTGAGGACAAAACTTCTTCTCCAATGACAGATTAACATCACTACAAATGAGTAGAATGTCATCTATTCACAGGATGTGGAAAATTAATTTTCCATTCTTGAACTTCGTCTGAACGCTATTGTCCTTCTCATTTTGTTTAAAACCCAAACTTTCTTATCATTGTTTTATCAACTTCAAATACTACTGTATAGAGACTTACTTTTGACCCATAAATGGATTTCTATAGGTGGCATCCCATATGTTCTTTTTTTCCATGACAAAAACCTTTTGGGTTATGCCATATAAATGTTTTTATATAAATCCCCGTTTAGGAATATCGTCTTTACATCTATCTGATATATTTCTAAATCATAATGTGCCATGAACACTATTATAATTCTAAAAGAGTTCTTGCATGAGACTAGAGAGAAAACTCTCATTGTAATCTTTTCATTCTCTTTGCGTAAAGCATATTACTACAAGTCGTGCTTTATATCTTTCTATATTTTCTTTAGAGTCATAATTTGTCTTATAGACCTATTAGCAGCCTACTGTTTTAGTTCCATTAGGAATTACTTCTAAGTCCCAAACATCATTGGTATT